GGGGACATCTTCTTTCTGGAGATTGGCTTTCAATTTACCTGGAGATTTCAGTGCTCACTGCTCATATTATAAAAAGAAAAAATACAACAAACACATTTGCAGAAAGATCTAAAGTATTTTGTAGGTGTAATGTTAGTCTGGGGTTAACAGCAGGTTTGGTAAAAAATTGAGACATCCATAATAAACACCTTCCCCATGGCATAATTATTTATTCTTTCCTGAATCACTTTTTCTGACTCTTTCTGTGTTGCTTTATGAGATACTGTGTTGTCTGTTGATTCTTTTTTTGATCATCTCTCAAACTGAGACTTGGCATCGACGGGGAGATGTGAGAGGAGATGCAGGTAGAGGCAAGATGCTGAGCTCATGGCGGGGGTTATAAAACCAACAGAATTGGTGAAAAGGTCTGTGGGAATTGGGAAAAGGTTTGTCCAGGGAGGCTGCAGAGTGTCTGTCCTGGGAAATACTCACAAGTTGATGGTGCATGTGTAGGGGCTTGGAGATGTTAATTTCAGTGGCCCTAATCCCAAAATAACCCGTTTGTGTCTGAGTAACACCTGTGGTGTGTTGTGATGAGATGCTAAATACTGGTAGGCCAGGGATCTGAAAGGCAGCCTTTTTTTGGTCTGAGGTTAAGCTGAAAATTGCTTGCAGGGTGCATGTATATTCAAAAGAGAAGAAGGAGGGGAGGCCTAATGTTCAGATCAGAGAGGACATCGAATCTGAGATGGTTGCCAAGGGCTTCCCATCCACCACACAGCCAGCTGTTTGTGCTGAAAAGAAGGTTACATATATTTTCATTTCTAATATCTGTGGATCCAGCGTTGGGTTTTTTTGTTGGTTTTTTTTGGCTGGCCTAGATTCTGCTCCCTTCTGGAAGCATTTAGCAACTAATACAAACTTCTGTCACTAATTTGTAATTATGATAACTAATAATCCATGAATTATTCCAAACTACTTCCAAAGCTGGTATGATTGGTATTTATATATTCTTGTCATCCATGAATAGTTTATATCTTCAGAAAACTAAATGATTCATAGTGGCCATGACAAGTAGCTAAAAATCTATTTAAGTGTGTAAAAATTAGAAGAAAAGTAGTATAGTTTAATAAGAAGCAACTGATCAGATGCACAACACAAGTACAAGGGCTGCTTGGCTGGGTCATGTTTGATGCAGCATCACATGGGCCTGGAACCTGTGATAGTGACTCCTGCAAGGAGACAAATGATTCTTACTGGTCACATAGTTCTCTGGAAGATGGTGGTCAAGTGGGAGTTTGAGGTCTCACAAATTCTCCTGCCTCCCCAGCATCTTGAGCCTGCCTGCTGGTCTCATGTGCCTTAGGTGTGGGTCTTTCCCATTTCCAATTATACTGAAGATGTTATATTTTTATTATACTAAATCTTGTCATTAGTTTAATTCCTTTATTCTTTTTTTCTTCTTCTTTTTTTTTTTATTTTTAATGATAAATAGCAGCTTGGAGTGAGTGTTTGTCTGTAGTGCCTGGGGATCCCTGAGAAGCTTTTGAAGACTCAGTTTTTCCCTAGGAAAGCTTGAATGCTCTCTTGCAGAAAAAAGATGTTCTGGTTTTGTGGCTGGCTGTGCTGCATGATCACACAGCTGTTGACACTTGGGTTCTGGTTAGAATGGCCATGAAATCTTTCCAGAATTCATAGTTAGTAAATTCATAGTTAACTTCAGAGTTAATAAATTCCTACAGTGGTGAAATAACCTACTTGGATGTGAGAGCTCAGGCTGACATCCCCTACTGGGAATGTCTTCTTGACTCCTTTGTGTTGCTGCACATGTGGCTACCCTCTTCATTCATACTTCTCAGTCCTTCAGATGGTTCTTTCAGTGCTGTATTCTGGTTCCTTCCATCTCTCTTTGGTTTGAAAATAGCTCCATATAAGAGAATTGCCAAATAAGTGTAGTGTGAAGTAACATAGAGTTAGACTTATATATATTAATACATTCATAGTTTTAATTGAATGTTGTCTCCATGTTGGCTTCATTCTTTCCCCACAGTGAATGCTGTTCTTCAGCTGTTTGTCCTCAGAGTATCTCAAACCTATTGGAGAAATCCTAAGTAGAAACAGCTTCTTTGGTGCCCTGCTCTGTTGCACTGCAGCTTGTCCACATTGGATTGACACTGACATTGGGTTTGAGTCCCTAGACTCTTCAGGGAGCTTGAGAGCCCAGTTGTGAAGCTTCTGTTTGGAAGCTGACAGAATCAGTGTGTTTCGCATGGGCAACGAGAGACGTAGCACCACTGGGGCCACCTCCTGCAGGTCTCCCCCTCGCATTGGTACAATGAACATGTTTGATGCTGTTACCTCAGTACAGTTTCCTTCCTGAAACTTGAAGTTGAGTAATAAAAATAGGGTCTTGACTGAAGAAGTTCCACATCTAGTGATGTGTGGTGCTGCCATGGACTGCCCTGTTCCTGCAGGAGCTGTGGTGTTCACCTTGGGGGCTGGCAGCTCGTGCACAGCACATGCTGAGGTGGCCCAGGAGGAAGGTTGGAATTACACAGTTGCAGTATGGAGCAAACATGGCTTTGTTCTACTCTATCTGTGTGTGAACTTCTGCAGTAAGTATCTTGAATAGAAGACTGAGTACATTTTATTGGCATTTTGTAAAATTGAAGACTTTATGAAAAATACTGTTACTCTTATTTTAGTCTCATGCTGGAATTTATTTCTTCTCACATACTAGTTTTCATTTTTGGTCTCTGTTGGTTCTGGTTGAGAATTAAATTGATGTTTATTAATTTTCCAAAAAGATTTTTTTAATAAAAATACAGAACCAGAGTCTCAATTATAAGCAAGGCCAGTGTTTCCAAAGCACCAGACATTCCCTCTTCTGTACAGGGGCTCTTTATGTTCCTCTTTTATTACAGCTGAAATCTTGACTGTGAAGCAGTGCCAGCTGGAGTGGCACAAGTGATTTCTCATAGTAACAGATGTCTCAGAGATGAAATTGCTAAAGGGCCAGATGGCTCCAATCCCTTTTCCCGTGGTTTATCCCTGCTCCATGGCAGGCAGGAAGAGCCGATCGGATGGAAATCGTTTCCATCCCTGATCTCTTTAGGTGATCTCTCCAGACAGTTTCCTGCTGGCCCACCACAATAAGCAGCTGACAAGTCTGCCTGAGAGATGTCTTTGCTTCTTCCATCACTTGCCAGCCAGAATGTAGAAAAAAGCAAGAAAACCTGCAAGAAACCCATGTTGAAATGGAAATGTTCTTCTGGGGGTTGTTATTGGGGCTTTCTGGCAGTGCATGAAACAAGATCTTTTCAGGGACAAGGTTCCCTTCTACCCCTCTGGCAGGTCCATTTGGACTTGTCCACCTTGGAATTCTTCTATGCCTCTATCTGGAGACAGTCAAGTCTGCTAAGCAAATGTCAGTGACTGTGTTTCAGAAATTATTGCCTAAAGGAGGTTTGTAGCTTGGATTCTGAATTTGGTATGAAAAGGAGGTAGAAGATGGAATAATAGACTACAAAGCAAAGTAGGGCGAGAATTTTTTGAGGTAATGGAAATACCACCTCTGAATGTAGAAATATTGACATTATTGGCTAGATCAGTGAATTCAAGGACACGAAGAGTAGGAGAAGTGGCAGTGAGAACAGAGACAGGCCCTGCACACTGAGGTCAAAAGTAAGAGCAAAATATTCTAGCTAGGGTGATGGGAATGAGAAGTAAATGCTGTGTGTCTGCAATCTGGTTAATACTTTTTATTTTCCTTTATTTTTTTCCTTATTAGGGATGCTATTGCTGAGATTAGAGCTGTCTGCATTGAGGAAATTGGTGTCTGGATGAAAATGTACAGTGATGCCTTCCTGAATGATAGTTATTTAAAGTATGTTGGCTGGACACTACACGACAGGGTAAGTACTGTGTGTCACTGCACAGCAGGGTGTGCTGGAGGCAGCTGCTGTTGCACTACCCAGGACATGTTTAGTAGCTTTGATTTTTAAAGAGATTGTTCTTTTTTCTTGCCTGTTTCTTGCCTGGTTCTCTTCCAACCAGCTGATCTTAAGGTGTTGCCTTAGGTTAGGCTGCAGCACTCCCAAACTGCATGCTGGGCTCCTGTGCTTCTCATGTTTTCAATCTCTGTTAGAATACCTTCATAAAAATGTTTCCATCATGCTTTTCTTCTGATTGCAACAGAAAGACACCTCCTCACATCACCCCTGAGAACCTTTGTGTCTGAAACAGAACAGAAAAGAGATTTCCAGAGGTGTCTTCCATTTACATGGCCCAGTGGTTAGAGGGAACATCTCTGAGTCCCCAGCAGACATCACCAGCTCCACAATCAGTGGAGTTCTCATCAGTTCATTTCCCTTGAAGACCTTCAAGTTTCTCTTTAGCTTCTTCTTCAAAAAATTGTTGAAACACTAGATGGAAGCAAAAAGATTTCTGTCCAGAGAGTCTTCTCTGTCTTCCCACAGTTGTTAGTACTGATGGTACCACAATGTGCCTCTGTGGGGTGGCAGCAAGGCCTGGGGGCCACTCAGCTGCACAGCCCATTGCTAACATGAACAGAGCAGGACTTTGCACTTGTGCCTGTGGGGTTTCTGTACACCAGGCAGTAGCTGGGACTGTCTGGCCTCCCACTCCCACCAAAACCATTAGAAACACTTGCTTGACTCTGAAGTCTTCTGCTAACACTATTCAAGGGAAACAGATGAGACCTCCTTGTCCTGTTGGAAAGCTCATTCAATCCCAGCATCCTGATTCAGACTCTTCTTTTGTTCTAGGAGCACTCCTGGAAAAAATTAAAAGTTTGCAAATTCCTTCTGGTGATGTGCATAGCTGGTAGTTTACAGCTGATTCTTAAAAAAGATAATAAATAACTCGGGACAGCAGGTTAACAGTGAGGGCATGACCTGGTCACTCTGCTGCTCAAGTCTGACCAAGATCAGTCAGAAAGGTGTTGGTGCTGGCTAAGGGAAGTAGTTGGCAGACACTGGTGCTTTTGCTGTGGCTGATCTGCATCTTACTTGGTTTAAACCAACTTTACAGACTTGCCCCAAACTTTTACATTACATCTCATTGTTACAGAACTTGATTAGGAGGAAGATCCTGCTTACTGCTGCAGTCAGCCATGACCACTGTTTGCTCTAGGGACACTGCACTTCTGTCACTAAAGCCTGAGCATGGCCACCACAGTGCTCTTGAGGGGCAGAGTTGCTGCTCCACCTCTCTACCTCCTTTCCAGGGTCCCTGCCTCACCAGCAGGCATGCTTCAGGAAGTGGAGATCATTGCTTCAGGTTCTCAGTGGGGTCATCAGTTCAGGTTGGAGGTTTAGTATTTTAGGTGTGGTGGAGAGCTTTATTTTACTAGGGCTTTTAATTCAAAAGAAATGATCCCTTGAATAATTGCAGTGGATGTTTTGGATCACATTCTAAACCTTGCAAAACATTTCCACCCGGTAACACTTACAAGGGGAGAGCAGCCTCCAGTGCCTTGCTCTGTGCAGCTCAGTCCTCTCTGGTATCTGTGCAGTCCAGCCACTTGACACACACTCCTTTAACCATCTGGGAAACCCAGCCCTTCCTGACAGCACCCTCTGTCACTGCTCACAGCTTCCCACACTCCCTCCTGTCACTTCCAGCTTATTTCTCTTGTCATATCCAATAGTTTTTCAAATCCCTCTTCATTTTGGTTAACCTCAGGCCAGGATCGAGTCATCTGCCTGCAGCCTTAACACAGATTTTTAACTCAGGGTTGTTTGTTGGTTTTTTTTTTTCAAAATTAAGCCCTTCTTTCTTATCAGACAATTTTTAAATGACAGTGTTATGGTACAAAAGTGGTTTTCCATCTGGACCAGACACGGAAGAATTCATTCAGGCTGCTCTCTTGGCTCTGCGACGTTTTTGTACCATTGCAGGCCTCAGAAATGCCCTGGGGTTCTAAGTCTTTGAATCACTAAGTAATCTGTTTAATGTCCTGGTATGCATGATAGGGGATAGTTTATTGATGTGTGTGCTTCAGATAAAGGAGGAGACAGATCATGAGTAGAATAGAGGGTGAGGCAGAGGTAGGTGAGCCATGAGGCAGAGGATGCAATGGAGGAGAGAATGGAGAAAAAGAGACATTTGGGGAGGCACAGAAAGGAGGAAGGAAGTGCAATGGGAAGAATATATTGGGAAAAAAAAAATAGGGAATAAGAACCAAGTAAAATTAAAACCCTTCTACTACTTCTCTGCTTCCCCCTCCCTACAAACCCTTCTACTTCCAAAAGCAGCAGATCTCTTAACCACCTTAACCCTCGAGGGTTAACTTGAAAATCTTGCTGGCTAATACCCAAGTTTTCTTGACTTTTGCTTTGCTTTGATCGGGGAAAATAAGAGCACTGTTTGTTATTAAACAGAGTTGATAAACATTTCAAGGTTTTGTTTTAGGCTCTAGTTCAGTTTGCAAATAAAATAAAGCATTAAAAATGAAGTATGAACGTGAAGCATTTCTCATTCATGAAAAATTATTTTATATTTTTAAAAAATAAAAAAATATAAATAATTATCTAAAAATGCTTTGAGAGAAGGGGAATGGCAGGAATAATTAGACTGGAGAGAGGCATGCCCAGAACCAGTAGCAGCGTGGATGAATTCAGGATTCTGCAATAATCAACTGGCACAATTATAAATTGGACAAAACTCAAGAGAATAAAAGGATTTAGTTTTAGAATGCTGACAATGCAAATATTTTGTCCATCATTTACTTAGGAAACAGAGCAGGGCTTTCCTTTCAGAAATGTGCTTCCTGTTTGTGAAGCATAGATGTGACCACCCAAAAATAACTGCTCATTTGCTGCAACAGAAGTAAAAGTCTTGTGCGGTCACAGGTATTTTCTGCTGCAGGTTAACTCACTATAAGCTTCAGAATTGCAGAAAATCTGGCTGAAAACCAGTCTTGGGAATATTTGTGCTTATTCCTTTCCTGCTCAAGGTAGAGTTCACTGTATGACTGGAGTGGTTCTCACTGGCTGAATTGACTCTAGTGGTGGTTATTCCAGAGCTTTCTGGAGGGCTCTGAGTGCTTCACTGTGTTTGCCACTAAAAAGCTCTTCCTTGTGCAAGCTAAATAGTCTGTGTTGTAGTTTTAATTTATTACATCTTTTCCTACCCAACACGCACATAAAAAGTGACAATTACTTTTTCCCTCTTCCTTGAAAGCAAACTCTGTTGTGAAAGCAAATCTCTGCACAGAGATGCTTACTGGAAGTTTTCATTACCTCTTGTGTCCGTTCTGCACTGTGCCCTTTTTATTTCATCTTCCTTCTGGCTTTTGTATTCCTCTTGTGCTTGACCTCCTAGTTAATTCATTAGTTAAATAAGTTTCTCTCTTACTTTAGAAATTCTCCTCCTGTCATTGCTCTGCATCACTGTTTGCAACTCTTACCCTGGCATAAGTTTCTTGGGAACTATCCTAGTTTCAGCATTCCTACCCACTTGCTTCCTTGCTAGATAGGAAATTTCTGCTGTGTTTCTTTCCCCAAAAAAGTGTTTGTGGTGTTATAAGCTCTTGTTACTTGGATGATTCTCAAGAACCATCTTGAGTCTGGTATGTTGATTGTCTGTAGCCCATTTCTGCTCCTCCATTCCAGACTGGAGTCTGTCCATGTTCACCTTCACTTCTGCTGGTCTTAGGTCACTGTGGTTTATGCTCCCCTGTGGGTTCCTGTCACTAATCTTTACTGACTCTCTTTTAAAACCTTCTTAACAGGATTAGCAAGCTGACATGCAGGGGCTCTTCCCTCTCCAAAGAGATGAATTCCATCCTTGAGCAGCATGTTGAAAAACAGACCTTTTTGCTGTCAGAGAAGTGCTGCTGTCATTTGTCTGCCAAGCACAGCAGGGTTTTCCAGGGGTTACCTCTGTGTCCCCTGGGCCTTTGCCCTCAGCTAGAGGGGCCAGGTGTGACACAACCTTTCTCCCTTCCTCAGCTGCTCCTGCAGTCACTTGTGTTCTCCTTGGAGCTGGTGAGAGGCAGGAGGGCACAGCCTGGCTCAGGGCACCTGGGCAGGACCTGCTGCTCCTGCTGCGCTTCCCATCAGCCTCGCCTGGTTTGCTTGCTAAAGGCTTCCAGAGACCCTCACTGTCAGACCTGAACTTAACTCTGGGACCACGGGTTCAAGGTGTTTGGTGAGGGCCACAAGGGCTCCATGGGGACCCTCACAGGTCTCCAGCCTCATTGCTGTTGGCACGGATAGTTTTTCTGTACCAGCCAATGCTGAGATGTGCATTGTGAGCCCACAGCCCTGGCTGGATACCCAGCCTTTGCTCCCAGGCAGAACAGTCTCCAGTGGAGCTGGAACTCCAGCTGCTCCCTCCCTGTTACCCCATGGAGTTGATCCCATGCCAGAGCTGATCTTGATCCTCAGTGGCTACGTAAGCCAGGGCAGTAGGAGGTTTACACGTAGGTGCCACTCTGTGCTTACTTAGCAGTTGATCACATCTACATAAACTTCATCTTCAAAAATTTCTTCTGTGTATCTTGAAAAATCTTATGATAGATCCTTCAAATACAACTTTCACCTCATTGACTCTCCCTGCAGTGGTAATAAGAAGGTTCCCTGGCAGAGAATGTGAGTGCTCAGAGACTCCTCACAGATCCAGAGAGATGATTTCTCAGGAAAAACAGTTCTTCAAGGAAAAGTTCTTTTGAAAATCCTCCTTTCAACTTCTGTTCTTCTTTTATCTTCTATTTCCATTCTTGAAACAGGTGACAAGGACGAAAAAGACTTAAAAATCAGGATTTTTAGCTTCTTTTTTTATGTCAGTCTTTCAGTTTGTAGCTCGAGCACTTTTTAAAATACAGACTTGGTGATGGGGTAGAAAGTCCTCTGGGTTTGGGGTTTCACTGAAGTTCCGTAAGTTGTGTTAGTTCTTGAGCAGTTTTGGGCCTTAAGACTGAGGAATGTGCTCACATAAATCTAAGTTAACACTGCAGTGAACTCCATAGGTTACATCTGGGCACATTTGTGTTGGTAACCACTTGCTATCTGCAGATCCTCATCAACAAGTCTCCCTGGTTTGCCCAGACTATGGAGCTGAGCAGTTGTGCCCCTGCAGCCCCCAGAGGGTGTGTGTGTGGGATCCCCCATGTTCCTCCAAGTGACAAACCTTGATCCATAGGCCCAGTCTGGTGACACCCAGGTTTCCTGCCTGCAGCCCCCAGAGCAAAGCAACCCCCATCCAAGGAGCAGCTGAGAATGAGCTGCTGCCCTTCCCGGGGGCTCCCAGGCTGGTGGGTGCCTTGGTCCTGGGCACCATCCTCAGCCTGGGCCTGCCCTGTGGGGAGAGGTGGGCTGCAGAAGGCTTCAGAATCATTAATCCAGTGTTTATTCCTTCTGTCCCTGGGAAAAGGAGCTGGGTGGGTTGCTGGAGGGGGCTGCTGGCAGCCCATGCTCAGGTGTTTGGAATGCTTGGGTGTTGGTTGTAGCCTGCAGGTAGCAGGTACCAGTTACCTGTCCTCTCCTTCCTGAAGAGAAATACCTGCACTGGCTTTGCACCAACCACCCTGAGATCATACAGCTTTATTTTGAAATTACTTTCTATATTCTTCATCTTTTTGTTTTGCTAGTTGAAAGGGAAACAGTAGCAGACATTGAACTGATGGCACATTCAATTCTTTATATATGCAAATAGGGAGAAAATGTAACATTGTTTGGAGGCAGCTGCATGTGGTTTGTGGTTTTGAGCTGAATTGCAAATTGGCTTTGGTAACTCGTTTGCATAAAATTTTAAATGTGCTTTAAACAAATTACAATATGATATTATTTAATATTCATGTGTGTTTGATTAGTATATTATATCAGCTAATCTTAGTGTGTTTTCTTTAGCAAGGTGAAGTGAGGTTGAAGTGTTTGAAAGCTCTTCAGAGTCTGTATACCAACAGGGAGTTATTTCCAAAACTGGAGCTGTTCACTAATAGATTCAAGGTAAGAAGAAATACAATTTTTGGAAGGAGTACAGAAAATAAAAGTATCAACTGTCTTATCCTGTTGCAGTCTTTGAGTCATGTATATGAAATGCAAAAATAAACTCATTTGTTTCTGACAAGGCTTGTAACTTTACTACTTGTAGTAGTAAAACTGTATTACTGAATGCTGAGGTTAAGCCAAATTCATTTTGAAGTGTTTTATCTTGTAAGACCTGTCAGGTTCAGCCAGGATGATTGTTTATCTGTTTGTGTTCTAAGTAGTTTGTATATTGTTGTTATTCAGTCTGCTTGCACTTACTTAATTCTAGATTTATTGAATTTTAAGGAAGGCTTCTGGGTGGCTCACACAATCTAAAATACATTGGAAAGTAACAGCCTGTAACAAAAGATTGTAAGACAGTAGGTGCTTGTGTTTGGAGGGAGAGATACTTCCATCTCCAGCACAGCATCCTACACAGTGTTGCAGAAGAGTTTGCACTGTGCTTTGAGACAGACCCCTGAGCATGACTCTCCTGTTCAGAAGACAAGTGCTGGAGGGATATTCAATGGGTTTTTTTTTTACTAACACAGACACACTGGCTTTTTGCTTAATATCTTGATGAGAATGTGGCTGTTAAAGCACTTGGAGGCACGACTGCTTTATTTCACAAGTGAAGTGTCTGGAGACATGAGTGCAGCAGAGCTGCCACTGCTGCTGGTTGGAGGCTCTGTGAAGAAAGTTTTCAGACCCTGTCACCACGTTGGCTGGCACCTCTTGCCATGGCTTTTGTGTTCTGCAGGACACAGAACTGTGGTAAAGGCTACTCCCTAAGGAAAGTCTGATTTAATTTATTTTCATTTAAATCATTATTGTAACACTGATGAAAAATTCTGTTTACAGAAAAAGGGGAGGTGTAAACACTTGTCAATAACTACTGTGCATGAAACTTAAAAACTTCTCACTGTAGATTTTATCCTGCTTCACTGGCTTTATCTGCCATTGCAGTTAGTATTAACTCCTCCAGTTTGATCTGGGAAAACACAAAATAATGGGAAGCTTTGCTGTATGGAAACTAGCCATAAAAACAGAATGGTAATCAGCCTTTTACCACATTCACTGAAGAAGGAGAAAAATGAAGCTTAAACTGCAGATAAAGTCTAGATGTTAAGAAAGGCTTTTTGCCCAAAATTACAGTTCTGTAATAGAACAGGCTCTTTATTAATAATCTCTCTAATTGAGATTTTTTTAAGGGCAGATTAAATGCATGTATCAGGAATTAACTAGGTACTTCGAAGTAAGAGATGAAACTAGACTTTTTCTGTGAGATCACTGCAGGCCTATATTCTTCTTACTTTATAAAATCATTTCCTGGGCCTGTTGCAGAAGAGACAAACTTTCCCCTCATAGCAGAGTCCCTGGCACAGGTTCAGGCCTCAGACTACTCTGTAATGCCTCCACAAGTTGAGTTTGCTTTACATCTCAGGACAACCAGAAATACTAGTTAAGGCTCCAGAAAAATGAACCATCCAACTCTGCTGCTTTTCTTGTTCCATTGGTGCACACTTACTGACCTGTTCTTATCTGCTTCTGCTGTAATTCAAGTTGGTTTTTTTAATAGGCCACTAAGACTCTCATGGTCCCTGTATCTGCTTCTCTTCACTAGAATTGCACTGGGTGCTTCTCTCTTAGCCTCCTGTGATGTGTAAGAGAAGATGCTGCTTTGGGTCTGAACCTGTCCCATCCACCAGCAAAGCTTTTCTAGACAATTGGAGGCATTTGAGAAACAGTTACTGAGCAATGTCCTTCCAAAATACAGGGCATGAAACCTCTAAGTTTGTTCACAGTACAGACAGTTTTATTTGTTAGCAGTCAGGTTAGCCTGTGCATTGCTGCTTGGTTTAGAATGGCACAAAGAACTTTCCTTTCTGTCAAAAGGATTCAGAGGAAAGGGAACCCTGTTAGGAATCCTCATCTGTCTTCTGTGCCACTAAAGCTGCTTCTACTACAGAAATCTGTATTGTTACAAAGTAAATCAGAGAAAAAGTGAGTTCCAAGTCTCTGTGAGCCTGGAGAATAGAGATGCTTAACGTGATGATTTATCAGTCTCCACTTCCAGCCACATGCAGAGAACAAAAAGCTGGCAGTGCCCAGATGCCTGCATGTGGATTTACAGCTGTGCTGAGGGGGATGTGGCCTTGGCACCAGCATGGAGCCAAGATTCAAATTAATGCTCTTAGGATCTGTCATCCATTACTTGAATGTCTTGTCACCACAAGCTCTACCACCACCCCTGAAAAATAGACCTAAATGCCTAAATGATCTGAATTCTCAGTCACATCTCTGCTTGTTTATATTTCCCCATCAGACTTGAATCAACCTTCACAGGTCAGCTGGCATTCAGCTCAGTCCATTCAAACTGTTATGAGAAATCTCTCTAGACATCTTCTAACTGTTTAAAGTATAAATTAATTTGGTCCAGAGTGACTTGTTCTGGGCTGTTGATACTTCACCACCTTCCAGGTAGCTGTGACAAGGATCTGCTAAGGTCCCTTCCCCAAGGCGCCTCTAGGAGTAGGTGACACACTAGGAAATAAACTTTGTCCTCTGGAAAAGAAATTATCCATCAGAGAGAAGATGATGCATCAGGCCTTCAGGTCTCATTTCCAAGGATCTTGGTGCCTGGCTGGCAGGTGCCATCACCCAGAGATATTGGCACTAGGGCAGAAAACAAGAACTGACATCCACACAATTTACTTTAAGCGTGATGTTTCTGGGAGACAATCAGAGGAGAGAACAGTCTTTTTGGAGGGGAAAACATTGTCACATCAGTTTCTAACTCCCAAAGGACTCCAAATTCAGAATGCCTCTTGCTCTGTAGGCAGGAGAGAAGATCCCTTCCCTTGCAGGCTTTTTGCAGAGGTGTAGGAGGAGTTTATGCTTGTGTGCTCTCTCCTTTCTGTGTGATTATTTCTCTCCTCTTGATATCCTGGAGTTGAAAATAGGCTTGGAGTGACTATATGATAATCCACTGAAATCAGTATCTTTGGCTGTTCTTCCTCTTGATTATGATATTAGTTGTTGTTGCTTGGCTAGGAAAAACTGACAGCGTATTTTTTTTTGTCTTATCCATACACAGAATTTCCTGTCTGGGAAGTTACTTCATTGCTTGAGACTCTTCATGGACTTCTCACAGTCTCTAAAACTGTCTAGATAGAAGAGTTAAATGTATCTGATTTCCCAGGAACTTAATGCTGATTGATAGAGCTTCAGTCAGTCCTAAGTGACACAAAGACCTGGTTTTGTAGAGAGGTACCATTGGAATAGCCACAATGCATTCTTAAATACTGATCTTGAATTTCAGTATTGAAATAAGCCTCAGTTGCTTGATATTCACCATCAGCCTTTAAATGCCCAGAGTAGGAGAGGAAAGAGGTGAACACCTTTATTTTGTCCTGATTTGTTCTTGGTAACTTTCACTGTTAACTTCTAACACTTCCCTTGTTTCTTTTCCAGTCCCTGACTACACTTCTTTCCCAAAATGTCCTATAGAATCTAGTCCACCCTGAAGCATGTCAGGACACAGAAATCAGATTTTCCTTTCAGATGACCCAATCTCTTTTCATTAACTTGGACTAGTCAGGCAGAGAACATCAGGACATACTGCACTTTTATGGATGGGTAGAAATTCTCCCCAGACACAGACACACATACACTCATCACATCTATTTGTGGTTGCCAGTAAGCAAACTGAAACAGAAGAGAATGAAACCCTTAGGAGGCTGCTAATAACTACAGGGTCCTTACAAGAGATGAACCCATTAGATTTGATGAGAAAGAGCTGTGCTTGTCTCTACTAGAAAAATCACAGGAAAGTATGAAGTCCAAGCATGAAATTTTCCACCTTCTGCAGAAGGTCTGTAGTGTCATTCTTGAGATGAGCTTCAAACCTTAGGTTGCCACAGCTGTGTAGGCAGCAGCTGTGTACAGTTGTGATTTTCTTCACAGAATTTCCAAATACGCAGCATTCGTAGCTCTGAAATTACTTGCTTTCCAGGAGGATGAAGCAGGGCAATTTTTCAGCTGTCATCCACCCCAAGCACATCCCTTTTCAGGAAGGAACTGTTAAATAGGAGCAGGCTTCAACTCTCAAGCCTGCCTGTTTGTTTCCTGAGACATAGGCTTGGGCGAGGACTGTTGGTTGAGCCCTCCCTCATCCCTGCCTGTTTGCCTGTCGTTCCATGTTTGGGTGTACATTCAATGGTTGGGTGATAATAAAGAGCTTGTCTGTGTCTAGTTGAAAGATCTTGCCCCCAAGAGTGTTTCTTCTGTAATCCATAGGATTCTTCACCCAAGAGCTGTTGGTGTGTTTCTGTTTTGTCACTGTAATGAAATTCCCTTCCAGGATCGCATTGTATCCATGACACTGGACAAGGAATACGACGTTGCTGTGGAAGCCATTCGATTAGTCACACTAATACTGCAGTGAGTATTTTCCAGAACTGACTCTGAAGGTAACCTTAGCGTTTATTTAACTGTACAGTTAGTACAAAAAATTAAACAGTATTTAACTGTCCTGCTTTCTCTGCTTGTGTCATGACGTGAATCTGTTATTTTACACTTAGTATGAAGTTGAACTGAGTATGTAATAATAGGGTCATAAAGCTAAAATAAGATCTTCTGCCTCATGGAAGTACAGCTGGCAAAGTATAAAAATGTGTTGATGTGTTGGGACTATTAGTGCACCCATTGCTGTGGAAGAATGTCAAGGGGGCTTAGCCTCTTCCCAAGGGCAAAACGACTGTCCTCCCCAAAACAAGTGTCTGTGAGTCACGTTTGCTGGGATGACTCCAGTGGTAACTGGGCATAGAGCAGTGTGAGGAGATGAGATTGCCTGGCACAACAGGACACAACAGCTGGGAGCTGACCTGGCCTTTGGGCTCTGGGGAAGAGCTTGCAGTTTCAAACACTTGGCTGTGCAGGAGAGACATTTCCTTACAGAGGTGCAGTCGCTTCCCCAAGGCAAAGCTCCAGCCCGGAGATCATGGAATCATTTAGGTTGGAAAAGACCTTCAAGATTATCAGGTCCAACCATTAGTCCAGCTCCACCAAGTCTACTGCTAACCTATGTCCCTCAGCACCACATCTACATGACTTTCAAACACATCCAGGGATGGTGACTCCACCACTTCCCTGGGCAGCCTGTTCCACATGCATCATCCCCCGTGCTGGTGTGAGCCAGCCTGGCACAGCAGCCCTGGAGGCGCAGGAGCACTGCTCAGCTTTTCATATGTATTCAATCAAACCTCAGGTGAAGAAAATCTGAAACAAGTGCATAGAATTTCTGCCTCATACTTGATACCTTCTGCTTCTGCTTTGAACAGCATTTTTGGACACACAGAATTTGGATGGATGATGAGACTGGCTTTTCCTCTTCATAAAGAAGGCTGAGCTCCTTTTTTTAATTTATGGGTCACTCTGCTTTACAGATATTTGACTTACAATATTAGGAAGAAAAGAAAAATTCTATCTCCTGTTATATTTTTTAAAGCAAATATCATAGAATGCCAGGTTGGAAGGGACCTCAAGGATCATCTGATCCAAGCTTTATAGGTAATAATATAGTTGAAATGAGGTGGCCTAGCACCCCTGCCAAGCTGTCTTAAAACTGTCCAATGAAGGGGAATCCACCCCTTCCCTTGGGAGATTGTTCCAACATCTGACTGTTCTCATGGTGAAAAATTTACCTCTTGTGTCCAATCAGAATCTCCCCAGGAGCAACTTGTGCCCCTCACCCCTTGTCTTTTCCATGGGACTCCTTGTTAAATAGGGAGTCTCCATGTTCTTGGTAGCCACCCTTTATGTGGTGGTACATGGTGATAAGATGTCCCCTGAGCCTTCTCTTCTCCAGGCTGAACAAACCCAGCTCTCTCAGCCTCTCCTCATAAGGCAGGGCCTCCAGTCTTCTGATCATCCTCATGGCCCTTCTAACAAATGTAATCAGAAATGAGATGTAGAACACAGGTATTCCCTACATTATTAGCAATATTTGGGAACACAGTCATATCTTAGGTGAAAAATTATCCAGTGCACCTTTTTTTTTTTTTTTCTGTCCTGTTTTGTCTTTGGTTGCATCATGAAAACATCATTAAAAGCATTTAGCACCAGAAGAATATGGGTCACATTCAACAGCACAGAGCAATATGCTGGCAGGTAGGAGCTGCAAGAAGTTGTCAACAGCAACCATGATACGGAATGACCAATTAAAAATTGTTTGTATATGAAGCCAAATGATGTAGAATCCTGATACATAATTTTTTTCCTGATGAATACTGACTAGAAAAGGAGGGGAGGAATATTTCTGTGTGTGACAGTGGTGATATTTTGGTCTTGTTGATGAAACATTCGTGGCTTGAAAAATACTTGAAGAATACTGCTGAAAAATGGAGTTTTCTCTGAGTTTCAGAAAACTCACACAAAATCTGCCTCGAGCTCAGAAACTGCAGAAGCCCCAGCTATGTCATTTACCTAAGACAAGGATAAAAGGTGTTTTTTCTTGTCAATAAATCATTATAGAAAATAAACTTTTCATAATCTCTCATCCAGCTCAGCAGGGTATGATCAGATTGGGTTCCTTCATGTTGAAAATGAAGTCTGTATCTGGTCAGCACCAGAACTGCTAGAAAAGTGGTGTACAGTGTATTGTGTCAGATGCTTGTAGCTCTCACTGCATTCCCTGATTCAATCCTGGCCTGGTTTGATGCTGGAGGCACAGGGCTAGGTCTTGGTACCCACTTTGTGCCATACTCTGGTTTAGTTTTCTGCTGCCCATATCCAGAACATTTCTGTTCTTTCTCCCACTGCTCAGGAAGGTTTGTTCTCCCAACCTGGACCTTTCAGCACCTGGCGTTGGGAATTTTCCTCCCTACTTCCCAGGCCAGCAGGGGCACCTCCTGCTCCACAGTGCTCATGAGCACCTGGACATGAAGAGCACCTGAAAAGACTTAACTGCTGAGAATGGAATAGGCACAGGTGTTCTCACTCCCAGATCTGAACACTTTAAAAATTAAAAGCTTTAAAAGCAAACAGGCATTGGTATAGAAATAAGTTTAAGCAAACCATGACATCTTTCTCTTGAACATTCTAGGTTTTTAATGTTTGATACTGAGTGTTTGGCACCTTGTGGTGTTCACATTGTAGTTAGTGGGATAGTCTAAGTAATTAAGCAGGGCAAGGTTTGTAAGCAGTGATGACTTTTTTAATGGGAGATGAGGGGATTGAAATAAAGCATTTGTTCTAGTTCTGGTGTTTCTTGCTGACTCTTGCAGTGGAAGTGAAGAAGCTCTTTCCAATGAGGACTGTGAGAATGTTTATCACTTGGTGTACTCAGCTCACCGTCCTGTGGCAGTGGCAGCTGGAGAATTCCTTCACAAAAAGTAAGTTATCTGTTGCCCTGGAATAAGACCAGATTTGTGAATGCTTCTTAGTAGAGATAAGGTCAAAAGGCAAAGAAGAAATAGAGTGAAATACCCCATTTTAGCCAATCAGGTATTTAATGTAAAGCAGAGAACTAACCTCTTGTTTCAATTCAAGACCTAAAGACTCAGAGAAACTGAACTTATGCTTTTCCTGCTCCAGAATTCAGGTAACTTTTCCTGTTCCTCAATGGCTAAATGTGCAAAGGCTTCATAAACCTCTGAAGGTGGTTTAAATCCTGCAGCTCTTGCTGAATTACTGCAGTGGTAATATAATAGGGCCTGTACATCCCTGACTTAGATGTTCTGACTGGCAGTCAGCCTCTTTACAAAGTATTAAACCATTTTATTTCAAAATCATGAATTTGAGAGGTTTTGATGTAGGAATAGTTAAGAAATGTGTTTCTAAACTCAGGGACTTCCCCTGAGAATCCATTCCACCATGGTTACATCCATGACACTGTGCTTACATCTGCCATGTACTTACTATGCCAAAGGAACTGAGCTGGCTTTTCCATGGAGGTGAATCCATGGCCAGGACGGTGCCAAGGAGCACTAGCAAGGAGTTCCTTTGCTAGTTTAGTGTTTGCAGCTAAAAGTCTTATAGCAGGATTTTTTTTTCCCCTCATGATACTGAGAGTTCTGTAATATATTTACAGACGGTATCAGAATCCAGGTGATGTGATTTTTCATGCCGAGATATATAACAGAAAGAAAATCACATAAAACCATCAGCTTTCTTTTGCCAGTGTTCTCATTGTCCATGTTTTGTTAGGGGTGTAGAAGGCCACTTTATAATTGTCAGCTTCCATTGGTGGCTTTCTGGAATTCCATCTTTGTGATCAGGCATCATCCGTTTCAAGGAATCTATTTCCAAAATTCAGTTACATTTAGTTTCCTACAAGACATACTACAAGTTACAGAAAAGATTTATGTTCCTTTTTTTAAAATGGATCCTGAAATTCCTTTGTTAATCACCACTGGACAAAAGAATTTTAAGAAGTGCCTCAAAGGTAAATGAAGACATATCTCCACCTCAATGTGTTCAGTGTAAAGACGAAACTTGATCCTCACTTTCCTTCACCACAATGTCTCTCAAGGTGAGGAGCACTGGGAGAGGATGGTCCCACTCCTCACACAGGTGTTCTCTTGGCTTCTGCTAAGACAGAAGAGCTCGTGCTCCCTGTGTTTGAGGCATTGGAGGTGGGATTTAGTCTCACCTGATTTTATACATTTAAGACATCACTTTCTATGTGTAAGGTAGTCATTAGACTTTCTGTAGTTAGCAAAGGAAAGCAAATAATAGAGAGGGTCACTGGCTCAGCCTGAGGTGCATCTTTAAGATATTTCAGCCCCTGTCGTGGTGCTTGTTTCTTATCTGTTAGATAAGCAGGGGGAAGAAGTGATGCCTGAAAATAGTGTTTGTGTGTAACCAGCCCTTTTCAGTGAGTTACAGTGACATCACAACAGCTTCAGATTCCTGGTGTGCTTTGGGACTGCTTTCCCTGTAAAAGTAAGGAGCAGCTTTCAGACTCCTCAAAGTAAAGCAGTGATTGCTGTGACTGGGGCTGTAGGCACAGCTGAGGTCTCTTTAAGCCAGCAAATTCCAGCATTGAGAGTAGCTGGGAGCGAGGCATGTCAGGGAACTCAGGGCAGAATGTATCAGTTACCTGGAATAAAAGAAAGTCAAACAACTGCCTGGTAGTTTGGTTTGTCCTTCATGCTGCTGGTGCTGGGGGTTGGTGGTTTAATGGGATGCCAGGATTGTTATACCATGTCCCAGGCAGTGTGACCACAGTGCAGAGACACCTCAGTTCTTAAGGCACCAGTGGGGTGAGTGCTGCTGCAACAAATTGAAATGCAAAACTATACATATGCACATATGTCAAAACTGTGTGAAATCTTTCTGTATAAATATGTTTTGGAAAGAAATTCTTCCAGCCCTGTGAACTTGGAGACACTCTGCCTGAAGAAATGAATTCACCTTCAGAGGTCATGCCCCCTTTCCCTTGAAGGAGGTAGCTGGAGGTACTTTCACTGTGGTTTAGGAACAAATCTACCAACTCAAGAATGAATGCTCATCATATTGTTGCAGAAATGAGATTTGTTTTGATAAATATGATAGCTCCTTTTGCTTATTTTTAGACTGTTCAGCAGACATGATCCCCAAGCTGAAGAGGCTCTAGCAAAGAGGAGGGGGCGAAATAGTCCAAATGGAAACCTTATTAGAATGTTGGTTCTTTTCTTTCTTGAAAGTGAGGTAAAAAAATAATTTTTTAACCTTTACGTGTTTAATAAAACCTGGAAGTTAAGTAGTGATTTATCAATGTACAGTAACAAGTTGTCTTTCTTTTCTTTTTTTTTCATCCTTGTCCATCATGCAAATACAACCCTAAATCTTCTTCATGGTTTATTTTGCTCTTGCATGTCCCCACTCTACCTAGTTCTGTGCTGCTGGTAGCCTGGCGGCTACCAGGGGTCCTTCCTACATAGAAATGTAACTTGTTCTTATCTTAAGATAATAATGGAAGGACTGTACCTCTGGAGTTAACTCTATGGAGTGAAATAATTTGAACCAGCAAGGAACAAAACTCACATACTGACTCAAGGATGATTAGAGCCATAGAATAAGGAAAGTGGGAAGGACCTGAGGGTCATGAGCTCAAAGCAGAGTTCGCTGTGGGATTAGATGAGGTTGTTCAGGGCTTTATGTGGTTGCAGCTTGAAAATGTTGGAGGATGGAGACTGCAGGGATCTATGATGGCATGAAATGTGTGATGGATGCAGGCAGGAGGAGGGGGGCCCTATTTTATAGCTACAGGGAAGTGTTATGGTACACTAATTACGTGTGGAAAGGCAGGGGAATGGAGGAAAACTTGAGGAGATAAACTACCATGTACAGGATGCTCTGAAAACAGAATCACTGGATCATGGAGTATGTGGGGTTGGAAGGGGCCTTAAAAGGTCCCCCTGCAGTGCACAGGGACCTCTTTAACTAGATCAGCTTCCTCAGAGCCTCCTCAAGCCTGACCTGGAATGTCTCCAGGGATGAAACCTCCACCACCTCTTTGGGCAACCAGGGCCAGTGCTTCACCACCTTCAGTGTGAAGAGCTGCTTCCTGACATCCAGTCTGAATCACCTCTGCTGTAGTTTAAGACCATTCCCCCTTGTCCTCTCCCTCCCTGCCCTTGTCCCAAGCCCCTTCCCAGCTTTCCTGGAGCCCCTTCAGGCACTGGAAGGTGCTCTGAGGTCTCCCTGGAGTCTTCTCTTCTCCAGGCTGAACACCCCAACTCTCCCAGCCTGGCTCCAGAGCAGAGCTGCTCCAGCCCTCTTTAGCATCTCTGTGGCCTCCTCTGGACTCTCTCCAGCAGCTCCGTGTCCTCCTTGTGCTGGGATCTCCAGAACTGGACACAGGGCTCCAGGTGGGGTCTCATGAGAGCAGAGTAAGGGGGGAAGAATAGAGGGAGAAAGGTTTAAAAATTATACATTTGATTTGGTACTAAATAGGTGGTGAAGGAAGACTGAAAAAAAAGGAATGACAGAAATGTCAGAAATGACAGAAAGAGGGCACTACATTTTGTGTAAAAAGCAGAATGAAAGGTATTGCAATCAGATATTTGAATTGTTATGAAGCCTTGAACAAGAGACTGTGAAGAAAGGGTAACATTTAGGTACAGAAGAAACTCGTTATAAACCTGCAAGTTAAATATGGATTAAATGTGTGAGCCTTCACCCTGCTCTCTGGATGCATTTTTAGTTCCAGCTTCTTTAAAACTTAGATCCATTGCCCACGTATTTTCTGGTGAAAACATCTTAAATGTGTGTGCATGTGACTGGGAGTCACGTAGCATTAAGCTGGTCTGTCCTGAGTAGAAGAGAGACTCTGCTTTGCTCCCAAAGCCACAATCAGCAGAGTGAAGCCATCTGCTGCTCCCCGGGACCACTGCCGTCTCAGGGCCAGTTTCTGCTCTTGCTGTTCTCGAGAGAGTTGTTAGAAACAAACAGAATATAACTCCAGTTTGAACAGTTAGAGAATTGGGAGTTTCCATCTGCATAGGCCTAGAGATGTGAGCACTGCAGTCTGAGAGTAGGAGCAGGTGAAACTGGGGCAGCATCAGCAGGCTGAGTCACATAGGACATTTTGCCCAAAGCTGTCAGCAACAGCAGGAGGATAAATATGCTGAATGTGCTTCTTCCTTACACCCTTCAATGTTTTCCAGTTAAGGCATCAGTCCCGTGTCTGGCAAGCAGATCAGAACTGCATGTTGTGCTTGTTACTGTGGGATAGTGGTTGAAGATCCATTTATAAACCAGCAGACCTATGGATTCTTTTTTCTCACTTTATAATAGTTGTGTGAAGTCACATAAAAACTTTCCTTAGCACCTACAGTTACTGTTAATTCTGTACCCCCTGAAATCAGCAGGATTTCTATGACTGTCTTCTGAGCAGGTAGCAACATGTATCATATATAAATGCCTGTTCCAAACAAGGATATTACAACTCTCTCTTAGTCTCATGTCTCACTAACTCTCCTTCTTCTACTGCAGTAAAAAAGTGAGGAAAGGTAAGTTTATGGCTTCTAGGTCAAAACTCTCTTAAGAGAGATTTTTCACAAAGTGTGTTATGGAAAAGCTTTTTATTCCATTTTCCACTAAAACAAATCCCCATTGTCCGGCAGTTGTATCATTGAGTTGGAAGGAGCCTTTCCAGAGTTAGTTTCAAGCTAGATTTTCTTTCCAACCTCGTGTAAGAGTATTTGCCCAGGACACACATTCTGTGGCTAAATGATTGAGAAAGTTGAAGAACTGGTGCTTGTACCAGGATGCTGTACTGATGGTTGCTTTGGATGTTCCAGTTGCATGAACATGCAGCCTATTTGGTGGACAGTTTGTGGGAGAGCTCTCAAGAGCTGCTGAAGGACTGGGAATGTATGACAGAGCTGCTCTTGGAGGAGCCAGTCCAAGGAGAAGAAGGTAGGTTTTTAACCTCTGAACTATCCTGGTATTGCACAGTATTGTTAATTAGTCCTTTAAAAGATGTTCCACTGTGGTGCTAAAGGTATTTATGTTCTGGTTTGTTTAGAAAAACACCCATTTTTAATGCACTTTGCTTCAAGCAGCATTTTTGTACTGTTTTTCATCTTGTGAAGTTTGCTGTCCTGTGGTTCCCTAATATTAAAGGCTAGAACATCTTCTCTGAATGTTTAGATAACTAGTGCATACATGAACATTTCAGTAGCTAATACAGTTTTGAATAAACAAGCACTTCAGGGGGTACTGATTAAATATGCAGCTTTTCCAGACAATGTTAAAACCTAATGAATTTCCAAGAGGAAAAAAACAAGGGGATTCTTTCACCATTAGTTTCTAATCTCCTTTTGCTAATAATAGGATCTGTGTGCACAAAGCAGCCAGGGAGCCCAATGGCACAGAGTCCTTAATGGCAATGAGTGTCAGTCAGGATCCTTCCTAATCCTTCAGGATTCTCCTGCTTCAGGGACCTCCTGGGCTTAGGTGGGTGAGAAGCAGATGTGCTCTTACTGCTTTCTAGCATGATCTGCAGATAATCTCTGTGTTTCAAAATTACAGAATGCCAGTTTGGAAGGGGCTGAAGGAACCTTTCAGTATTCCCCTGCTACTGCTGTGGTGTTTCTGTGGGAATTTCCTTAGGAAGTTAGGGCCCTTGGTTCTTTGTTGCTTTGTAGCCTAGTGGGGTTTGATCTTCTAGATGTGTCCTGAAGTACTTCTTCAACAGCAGAAATAATTCTTCATAGAGGTGAGAATGTTTTGTCAGGAAGTGACAGTGAACAGTCAGTCACTCTCTGTCCCTGTGACCCTCTTTAATTTTGTAGATCTTTCTTACCTTCCCCTTCACTCATCCTTGTTCCAGGCCACATTTCTCTGGATTTCTTTCAATTTTGCCATAAATGACAATGCGAAGAGCAAGCAGGCCTTGGGTTTACAAACAGGACAAAAAGACATTGTCTCTGTTGTTCTCTGTCCCTGTGTTTTCCACCTGCACTCACGGGTTTGTCATTTGAAGATGCCAGAGCTGACGTTCCTTCTTGTCTCCCCCAGCCATGTCTGACCGGCAGGAGAGCGCGCTGATCGAGCTGATGGTCTGCACCATCAGGCAGGCTGCTGAGGCTCATCCCCCCGTGGGCAGGGGCACTGGCAAGAGAGTAAGTGGGACTACACAGGTAGCTCTGACCCGTGGGGGTGACTGTGGTAACATAAAATAATTGTCTACAATTATTATCACAATTATTGTCACAGAATCACTGCATGTCAGGGGCTGGAAGGGACCTCTGAACATCATCCAGTCCAACCCCCCTGCCAGAGCAGGACCCAAACCAGGGCAGGTCACTCAGAAAGGCATCCAGACAGGGCTGGAAAGTCTCCAGAGAAGGAGACTCCACAGCCTCTCTGGGCAGCCTGTCCCAGGGCTCTGTCACCCTCACAGCAAAGAAGCTCTTCCTCATGTTGAGGTGGAACTTCCTGGGCTCCAGTTTGAATCCATTGCCCCTCGTCCTGTCCCAGGGCACAAGTGACAAGAGCTTGTCCTGCCTTCTTGATGCTCTCATGTATTGATAGACATTAATTAGATGCCCCCTCAGTCTTCTCCTCTCTAGACTGAAGAGCCCCAGGTCTCTCAGCCTTTCCTTGTGGATGTCACATGCTGACACTTTTCAATTAGATGTTTATAATTGGTGTGTCTTGTTTCATGTGAACACATTTTGAAGAGAAGAGTAGAGATTCTATTTCTGGACATATGGGGTTTTGTTTCATTTTGGGTTTTGCATTGCCAAGTAATGTAAATTTGCAGCATGAAAATAATTTTAAATTACTTTTTCTGTATTTTTTTTTCTCATACCCCTACCTTACACTGGTACCCACAGCTACAGCCCTTCATGGGAAATGTAGATCTTATTTTATAGTGACTGTTAGAGGATCAGTGAAATTCCAGTCCTGTGGCTGGGCTGCACTTACAGGCTTTTCAGTGTAAGTCAGGGGCATGACAGGCTTTCAGCTGCACTCTCCATGAACACAGCATCCATGTTCCAAGAGAGTCTCAGCTCCCCAAGAGTATCTCTGATTTTTGGCAGTCCCCTCTTATTTAGTTTAGACTAAAATGAATTAAACCCCTGTGAGCATTTGGTACTTTTGTTAGGTTCTGTTCTGAATAATCATAACTAGCTTATTAAAGAAAGGCACAGACTTACTAAAGGTGAAATCTGGAGGGGGATTTAGCATTCTTTATTTCTAAACTAAATGCAATTACTTAACTTCTTAATCTTTATGTGCCAGAAGCAATTAACATTGTGTCCAAAACCAGCATCCCAGGAAAAGCTCCAAGAAATCATAGATTTAAACATACTTTGTGAAGCTTAATTTATAAAGCATATTCTGAGAAATTCCTAGTTTATTAAAACAATGCAGGGGTGAGGGGGAGTCTGTGAAAGCATTACTGAGATTTACACAATTGTGTATTATCTTGTGTTACCAAAACTGCCCTGTAAGCACAACTTCCCTGTGTTTAGTCACCACCTGTAAAACCATTCGAGCAGACTGAGCTCCCTTTAAATGTAACAAAAAAAATCATGTTTGTATTTTCTCTTTGGAGCACCAAATAATGTCACTATTAGCTTTCTGGGTATTTTTTCTGTCTCAAGAGATCTAAAAACCAGTGCTGTTGACTTCAGCTAATTCCTTAGCCTTAGATTTTCAATGTCTGTATTTTTTCAAAGCTAATGAAAACAGTTCAGTAAAATAAATTTTGCCTTCTGAAGGAAGATCAAAAGAGCCTTGAGATCATCCTGGGGACCCGGATTAATTCCTAGCACCACTGAACATCAATATTTGGTCACCAGAACTTGTCTGGATTATTACAGGGAGCAGCAGCCTGACTGGCCAGCAGCATTCCCAGTGCCTTCCCATCTACCGGGGAAGTGGTTCTTTTCCCTGTTACAAATGTGTTTTCCTTCACTCCCCTTCCTGCTGTCCCACAGGCTGCCTGTCAGCCCAGCACGTGGTTGGCTTCAGCTGTTCCTCCTCACTTGCAGGAGGTGTAGGTGTGACATTCAGCTTTTGCTTCTCTTCAGTTAGCCCTGGAGTTGTGGGATGGTAACTGCAGGGATCTCTGCCTGGGCAGTGGAGGTTTGTCACATTCCCATCATCTCACTGGTGGGTTCTGAGTTTAAATGGGAGCAGATTCCTAATGATGTGCTCACATTCTTGTGAAATAGTTTCTTCTCTGACTTCAGCTTGCAACCCTTATTGTGCAGTCTGGCAGCTTTGCTATTCATAAAGTTAACTGGAGTATTTTATTGTCATTATTTGTTTTCAAAAGTGTCTTCTCCTTTTCTGAAGGCAAGAAGCCAGATCTAAGCTTTTATGGAGCATGCTGTTCTGATAATTGGCTCCTATTCACTGTTCCAAGGTGATTTTGCTATGACAGCATTAGGAGCTTCAGTGAATCTGTCAGTGACATTGGTGTCAGTTTGAAGTTGGATGTGTGGTGTCACTGAGAGTGACATTCCAGTTCAGAGAGGAGACCATGAATCTGCCTGCAGAAGTCACTGTTACAGTGTGCTTTGGTTTTGGTTTTCTTAGTGATAATCCAGTTCTCTCTGAGATCTTACAGTAACACTTTGTTCAGTGTGTGAAAGCTCAGTTCTCTTGGAAGCAACAGCAAAACTTCCCCTGACTTGGGTTATATTTGATTTTCAATCCTTTAAAAAAAGTTGATGGATCAACATGCTGGATGATGTTTTCCTTTTCAGGCGCAGCATCTTAGGACACGTGGCCCTCCCATTTAATTACTCCTGAGTCCAAATGTCTTGAGTTTTTTATTCCCTCCTCTTCTGATTTATTAAAAATAAACTTGCATGGATATTTGTTTGTAATGCAAACTTTAGAAAAAAATAATTAATGCTACATGCAAGAATTGTATTTACTTTTATTGTTTGTGATCACTTGCAGGTCTTGACAGCAAAAGAAAGAAAAACTCAGATAGATGACAGAAATAAATTGACTGAGCATTTCATTATTGCACTTCCTATGTTGCTGTCAAAGGTACATTTTTTCAACTAAACCTCTCCCTGGTGTTTACAACTGCCTTTCAACTTTTTCATCCTGTACTCCAGGTGTTTATTTTTACTTCAGTGTTGTTTTGTTTTGTTTCAATGATGCTCTAGTATTCAGCTGATGCCGAGAAGGTTGCGAATCTCCTGCAAATCCCACAGTATTTTGATCTGGAAATCTACAGCACGGGCAGAATGGAAAAGGTAGAGTACATGGGGCAAGAAGTCTGGCTGCTCTCAGGTACCCGAGTTCTGTGCTCATCACACAGGACTGAGCCTGCATTTGCAGTGTCAGTCACACACACAGATCACACAGAATCACCAAGGCTGGAAAAGACCTTTAAGATCTTCAGGTCCAGCCTGTGACCTGACACCACCACATCCCCAGACCATGGCACTAAGTGCCACCTCCAGCCTTTCCTGGAGAACCTCCAGGGATGGTGCCTCCACCACTTCCCTGGGCAGTCCATTCCCATGGCTGATCACCCTCTCCACGAGGAAGTGCTTCCTGAAATCCAACCTAAACCTCCCCTGGAGCAGCTTCCTCTTGTCCTGTCACTAGAAGAGCCTGACTCCACCTGATTACAACCTCCTTTCAGGTAGTTGAAGAGAGTGAGAAGGTCCCCCCTGAGTCCTCTGTTCTCCAGACTAAACACCCCCAGCTCCCTCAGCCCATCCCTGTAAGACTTTCCCCCCAGTCCATTCACCAGCCTCATTGTCTCCTCTGGACCTTCTCCAGCACCTCAAGATCCTTCTTGCAGTGAGGGGCCCAGAGCTGCACCCAGGACTGGAGGTGAGGCCTCCCCAGTGCTGAGCACAGGGAGAGAATCACCTCTCTGCTCCTGCTAGCCACACCATTCCTGACACAAGCCAGGATGCCATTGGCCTTCTGGGCCACCTGGGCACACTGCTGTCTCATGTCCAATTGGTTGTCAACCAGTGCTCCCAGTTCCCTCTCTGCTGGGCTGCTCTCCCTTGATTTGGTGTGTACTTTGGATGAGTTTCTTCAAGCTTCATTGTTCTGTTAAGGTGAAACCTGAACTTCTTTTCTGATCTACAGCATCTGGATGCCTTACTGAAACAGATCAAGTTTGTGGTGGAAAAGCATGTGGAATCAGATGTTCTGGAAGCCTGCAGCAAAACCTACAGCATACTCTGTAGTGAGGAATACACAATCCAGAACAGAGTTGACATAGCCCACAGCCAACTTATTGATGAATTTGTGGATCGATTCAACCATTCTGTAGAGGATCTGCTGCAGGAGGTTTGTTTCCTTAAAGTTGATTTAGTTAGACTACCTGAAATATGCTATGATAAATTGCAGAAGAACATTCTTACCAGGTCATGGAATCATTCTTCTGAAGATGTAGTTCAGCAGCAACTCTTTCATCTTTATTTGGAGCTGTTTCTCCATGTAGAAAATCCCTCGGCCTTGCCATTAAGCCTGCAAAGCCTTGATGCTGGAAAACAAAGACCATGGGACAATCCTGAAAATTAAGCCTAGTGTCTGAACAGTCCACTTAACAAATGAAAGGGATGAGCAGGTGAAAGCTGATGAAAAATGCAGGAAATGGTACATTGACATGAGTGGTGGTGGTGATTCCAGTAGTCCCAAATGGTTATTCAGGCAGCAGAATCAAGATGGGATTATGGTTAGAATGGAAGAGAGGATTTAGTAAAATATTTATAATAGCATGTTGAAAGAGCTCTGGAAAGAATGAAATAAAGATACAAGTCTGAAACCTGAAGGCACCCGGGATTTACTGACAAGAATTTATCCTTCAAAATGCTTAAATTTATCCTTCAAAATGCATAAAAAAGGATACCTTAAGTAAGAATAGAAACCTTACATACTTTTTCTTGCTTTCCATCAATATAACTTTGTGTTGCACTACTTAATTTGTTGTAATTCTCATGCTTTTGAAACATAACTTAGGGGCTGCATAGATCTTCTTCATCACTTCTGGTCATGCTCTGCACTGGGCAGACACAGCATTTTTTATGTAGATTCCTAGGAAATTAAGCCACAGTCTGTTTTAGAATTAAGAAAATTAAGAAAATAAGCTTTTTAAAATCTTTAAATAATATACCACATGCAGACATCCTATGTGTGTGCCTTGTCACAGTGCAGGGTGAATAAAGATGTGTCTGTTGGCTGGGAATGTCCATGGGTGAGCAGGCAGGGCAGGCAGCTGCAGCCCAAGCCACCACTCTGCATTCTCTGATAGAATCCATCTGCTCTCTATTTGCCATTTTAGATGAGCTTTCTCAAAGGCTTCTGTGCAGAATGTGAAAAGACCTTCCAGAGTTTGTGCAACCAGCTGCTTGTGGCAAGGGAGTCTTTGCAGTAATGCCACCTTCCATGTCTTGGGTGTCTGTTTCAGTAGCCATGGGTTTGTGAAGTTCCTCATCTCTAGTCAACAGGACCAAAAACTCCAAGACAAAAAAACCTTGGGGAAGTTGTTGCTGACTTGGGTAGCAACAATGGCTAAAGTTGGGCTGCCAGCACAAAGATCAGCTTCAGACCCAGCTGAGTTCTCCACGCCAGGTGCCCAGCAACTGAACACCATGAACAGTGGCCTTGGCTGTTTCATGGGTACCCACTGACAGAGGTTTATGAACTCTGGCCATGTCCTCACCTTTTGCACTCTCCACACATTCATCACCCTGGTTCAGTCTGGCTCTGTATGCAGGAACAAACCTTCTGGGTTGTTTCTGCAAACCTGGCTCTTGGGGAATCTTCAGCTCATGTCTCCCCAGCCAACCCCAGGTCAGCCAAAGCATCTCATGGACACTGGCCTCAAGATGGGGGAAAGCGCCTGTGGGGTTTTTTCAAGAATCATGCCAAGAAGCAAGTGGAATCCCAGTGCTTTGGCCCTGACTTGCCATGTCTCTTCCATGGTCTTGTCAGAAGACATGATGGAAATGTCACCTTTCAGCTTTTCCTCATAGTTGAATCTCAAACTTCTCCAAAGCAAACACCACGTTTGTCCTCTCTGGAAACACTCGTGTAACACCCAGTATAACAAGGAGAGTTAAGTTTGACTGAGGATGCAGCTTGTTTGGAAGAGCTCTCTTGATCAGCTGTATAGAAGTTACTCATCCATGAATCTATTCAAGGATTCAGAGGTGACATTCTGTTCCTTGATAGAATCATAAAGTGGTCTGGGCTGGAAGGGAACTTAAGGATCATCTAGATCCAGCCCCCTGCATGGGCAGGGACACCTCCCACCAGACCAGGTTGCTCAGAGCTCCATCCAACCTGCCCTTCAGCACTTCCAGGGATGGGGCTCCATAGCAGAGCTGCTCCAGCCCTCGGATCATCTCTGTGGCCTCCTCTGGACCTCCATGTCCAGAACTGGATACAGTATTGCAGGTGGGATCTCAGGAGAGCTGAGGAGGAGGATCACTTCCTGTGACCTGCAGGCCATGCTCCTTTTGATACAGGAATTTTTCACCCAGGAAAAATCATCTTTCTATTAGTATTGCTGAGACAGCCACAGATAATTTCTTCAACCATAATCCCAAACTCAGTTCCCAAATGGGAACACTTAGGTTCCTCCTGCTGTACAGCAGCTCCTCCTCCTCTGATTCACCCGTTCTTCTCCACTCTGGTACTGTGAAGACAAGAACCAGCCCTCTAGTTCTGTCAGTGCCTTTTCCATCATCCACCATTTCTGGAAGCCAGCAGTCCAGTTAGGCTTGAGTTTGGTTTAGCACCAGTTTAGAATGTCAAGAAAGCCATTTTTCCATTGATCATTTTTAAAAACTTGCTGTTTCTGGTGTGGCAGAATCTCAACCATTTGGCTTTATCCTTGTAGCCTGTTCCTCAGC